GAGAGCTCTTGGGGATCTATGCTTTGGTGGGGGTAGATAACATGCTACACTCAGCTCTCTCCAGTTCTAGGATGCCGATAGACTACCTGGATTGTTTCTCACAACCTCCCCCGAACCCCCCAAGGACTCCTTGCCTACATTCAGAGCCCTGTGTGGCTTGGTTCTTTCACCCTCCCAGTGTGCACTCCTTGCCCCCATTCCAGCCTCCCCTAGAGCTTTCTCACCTGGGGACTCTGCAAGCCCTGGCCTGCCTCACAACTCCCCACCTGCAGTGCTCCCCATCTATGATGGATTCACCTCCAGGCTGGGCTCAGGGGCCACCTCCTTGGGCTTCTGTTAACAGCACAGCCTTTGGGGTCACATTGACCTGGGGTAGTGTTACAGCCCTGGGACAAGCAAGCTCGTATCCTGACTTTGCAGAGCCTCAGTTCAGCTGGCCTTGGTCACTTACAGCTGGGGGACCTTGAGCTGTGGTACCCACTGCTCATCTCCAAAATGGGGTGGACTCACCGATCACATGGGGTCCTCTAATAGCAATAATTACTCTAAATACTTACTCTGCTCTCATTGTGGGGCCACTTCCTCCCAGGAGTCCCACCTTCCCCATTACACCAGCCAGGGACAGGCAGGAACTCATGTCCTGGGCTCCTGCCAGAGGAAACAGGGAGGGGCATAAAGGAAGAGGGGGAAGGCAGCCTAAATTTCTCCCTGCCTGGAGTGTCCACTGCCTCCTCTAAGACTCCTGTCCTAGCTATGCACAGAGCTGGCCCCTCATGTAGTGTCTGGGGACAAGGACAGTGGGACAGGGGCTGTTCCACAGCGCTCATGTCCCCAGGTCTCTGGCCCAACTGGCTGGAGTAGGGTAATGCAATGGTTCCAGAGGTTGTGGGGTCTCAGAGCAGTGGCTGCTGAGGTCCAGTGGTACTGGCCGGGCTGGGAACCATTGGTACATTGTGCATGCCATGAGGTGGCATCTCATGCACACACTGTCCAAGACCTTGTGTGTGTCCCGCCATGGACATGAGGCTGGCTGCTCTGCTCGAGTCCACATGTGGAGGGAAGCCATGTGCCCCTGAGTGTGCCCTGCCACCCTCACTCAGGGGCCGGATCCACTTTGAGCTGGGCTCATGCGGTTCCCTGTCCAATCCTCATGAGATAATCATGAAACTGAGGCCAGGAAAGGTAGAAATTGGTCCAGAGAGAGGTGGGTGTCCATATGGGAAGAGGATACCTATGATCCTGGGGCCCCCTGCCCACTTTTCCCATGTGGGGCCGATTCTTCTGGCTATTCCCACAAGGGCATGTGCACACACACACACCCCATTCTAACTATCCATCTATATGCTTAGTATGCTTAGTAATATATAGTGTAGTACTTCAAGGTTGGGAACCACATGTAGATTTCAATTTGGTTCTTCTACTGCCCTCTAATGGTCATTTCTCAAAATGCAGACAAAGCTGTATTAGGGGAAACATTTGAAACTATTAATGCAACCCAGGTATGTGAATCCTGCTTCAAATTTTGGATTTTTGGAGTAGATGAGAAGCTTAGCAGAGTTACCTATGGAATTGAGCAATGAGGTAGAAGACATAAAAACATTTTGAATATTGTGAGGCTATTTTTACAATAAACAAATAATTTTTTGAATTTCCAAAAATAGTTCATAAATTGAAGCAATGTGAAAATAGTTTTGTATTTCTTTGAGAAGTTAAAAATGTAGGGCTAATGTGTTTTTATAGACATCATTTTAAAAAATAATTTTATTGATTATTTATAGATGGATACAGAGAAGATTGCAAATTGTAAACTAATACCTATATTTAGAATGTGCTTCACTTAAGCTTGGGAAATATTTTGTGACTGTAGAGATGAATTTATTTATTTAGGAAATACAATTGAGAAAAAATAATTGTATGATTAAAAATAGTTATTTATTAGTTGAAAATAATCCTTCTAATATATAGTGTAGTATTTCAAGCTTGGCAACCACACATGTGGATTTTAGTTTAGTTCTCCTGCCCTCTAATGGCCATTTCTCAGAATGCAAACAAAGCTGTATTTTAAGGGGAAACGTTTGAAACTATTATTAATACAACCCAGGTGAGTGAGTACCACTTCAAATTTTGGATATTTGAGGAACCTGAGAAATTTCCTCCATCAGTTTCCTCATTTTAACTTTGCAACATAAACACTGTATCTCAAATACATACTCTCTTGAGATTACAGATGTAAAATTGAATTCTGGCATCTCTTGACAATTTGACTAGTAAGTTATCCAAAGCTACAGTAATTTCCTGTAAAATTTTTACACAGTGTAATCTTAGACTTTATAACTACTGCACAAAGGGTGATTGCAAATAAACAAATAAATGAAACACTTTTAAATGTACTGCTTCCTACTACTAAGTCCTTTGTATACTGTATTTTTTCCCCTCTCATAACCACCGCATACACATTGTGAAGTATATACAGTTTTATTCAGATTTCATGAATAAAGTAATACTAAGGGAGACTAATAAAACTTAGGAAGTGGTACACCCTGGCTTGAAACACTGAGTTTGGTGCCTTAACTTTCCTACTTTTAAAAATATATCTATTTAATTAAGTTTGAATTGATTTTGAGCTATTTAACCAGGATAATTTGGTACTGTACTTCAATGTTTTAACATAGTAATTTAAGCAACATTTATGTATCACATTTTTTCATGTTAATGTATACCAGTCTCAAAGACTTAGGTTCTTCTCCAAATTTTAAGAACCAGGCCCCATTTTAGAGAAGGTGAGTTTTAAGAAATCTAAACAAGTTTTTTTCATTTTTCAACTGAAGAATTTAAATACAGAAACTAGAGCTTAGTGTCCTCTTTATGATAGACAGCAAACAGATGCTTGTGGGCCAAGAAAAAGTTTACTCCGGAGAGGTTACATTGTATAGAATTGAGTATGATTTCAGATAAAAAGGATTATTGGCTTCAAAAAGATTTTTCACTGACTATACTTTTAGAGTCCTTTCTCTAAAATAGCTTCATTAAAAAAATCCCTTGGGCATTTCTCTAATAGCCAGTTCCAAATCAGATTATTCCTGGGTTAAACGATTAGTTATCTACGGACAGGTCATCCTGGTTAATTCTAGCCAGTAATGACTTTTCATCCCTTGGATTTCTATGGCATTTTGTTTAAGCTGCTTACACAGTACTAACTTCATACATAAGAACAATGGGGCAACCCCTAAGAACAAAAGAAAAAGAATCACCCCATAAGAGTTAAGCACAGCCGAAACCGGTTTGGCTCGGTGGATGGAGCGTCGGCCTGCGGACTGAAGGGTCCCGGGTTCGATTCCGGCCAAGGGCATGTACCTGGGTTGCGGGCATATCCCCAGTAGGAGATGTGCAGGAGGCAGCTGATCGATGTTTCTCTCTCATCGATGTTTCTGGCTCTCTATCTCTCTCCCTTCCTCTCTGTAAAAAATCAATAAAATATATTAAAAAAAAAAAAGAGTTAAGCATAAAAAACTCATACATAAGAAGCAAGGTTAGCTGCTTGTAAAATAATCAGAGATGTATCTGGAAATGTGTGACTCTTCACAGGTTCAAATTGACTGGAGTGAAGTCTCAGGGAGGCAGATCAGAAACTCAGCCATAAATAGGAAAGCGCAAATCTAAAGCCAGTTTTACTTTCTCCTGTGTGAAGAGGTTTTTAAAATATTCATGAAACCGTTTTTATGTTAATTTAATAACAGCTAGGTGAAATAATTAAAACCCAATTGTTCTGAATATTAATTCAAGCAATTCTCACCCTCACCCCCAGGAGATGGGTATTCTAGTTAATCACACGTTCATGATGAATAAACTGAAACACAGACAAGTTCAGTAACTCTCAGGATTCCACGTGATGGAGCAGGAGTCTTTCCTGGGTTCTAGGGTCAGCACACATAAACACCCCACTCTATGCTGCTTCAGTTAAGATGGTGTACCTTTGTGATGGTTATTTTTATGTGTCAACGTAGCTGGTCCGGATATTTGGTCAAACATTATTTTGGGTGTTTCTGGATGAGACTAACATATTAACTGGTAAAGTACAGCAGATTGCCCTCTCTAATGTGGACAGGTATCAGCCAACCACTTGAAGGCCTGAATACAACAAATTAGCTGACTTTCCTGAGTAAGAAGATATTCCTTCTGCCTGATGGCTTTTGAAGGGGGACACTGGTCTTTTTCTGACCTGGACTCAGCCCAGAATTTACACCATTAGCTCTCCTAGTTCTCAGGCTTTTGGACTCAAACTGACACCACTGGCTCTCTTGAATCTCCATCTTGAGTGTTAATATTGGGACTTCTCAGCCTCCATTATTGTGGGAGCCAATTTCTTATAATTAATACACACACACACACACACACAGATAGAGAACCTAAACTAGTACAGATGTTTGCCTTGAGAATGGGGCGATTACACGTGACACCCTCATGTGCTGTAAGCTCTCCAGAATGGGGACATGTATGTTATCTTTCCACTATATATCCAGCACCTGTTCTAATTCCTGCTGCAGCACACTCCCCAGGTTAAGCATGTTTACTGGGGAGAAGTGTCCAGATAGCAAGGATCTGCCTTTATTCTTTTCACACAGCACTGTCAGGGAAAGAAGGGGTCAGATCCCGGAGAAGAGGAAGTATTCTTTCATTCATGTATCAGGCACTCAGTGTGTACATAGTATAAAGTATGAAACAGATCTTGTGCTAGGTGGAAGAACACAGAGATAAAATACACAATTCCTGCTCTCGTGGACCTCTCACTTCTTAGGATGACAAGTAAAATCTATATGGATAAAAACCAATTCCTATTAAGCGGGTACGGACCTAATAAATGGAGCTTCAAAAGACATGAATCCAAAGCTGACAGAGCTAACTTGAAGGAGAAATAGGACCATAATCATCACTTCAATATGCTGAGATTTCAATATGCTGATCAGTAACTGATAAAAACAAGTAGACGGCAAATCAGGAAGGAGAGTGAACACCTTAACAACTTCCTCCACCAACGGGGCAAGACGGGCATGGACCGAGCGCTGAACCCACACAAAGCTGCACATTCTTCTCAGGAGCACCAGGACCACTCGCCGAGACAGACCGTGTACTGGGCCATGGAATGAGTCTGGATATGCTTAAAACGACTGGAACCCACCAGCATTTGCATCCGCCCTGGCCACAAACCCTCCTCTCTGGGTGCAGGTGGTGAGAGCTCGGAAGGGACAGGGTTGCATTCAGCGGCGACAGGCAGGAACTGCCTGCAATTATACGGACCTGAGCGCAACAATGTGAGACAGCGCGACGGCGGGGCAAGATTGTGAGACACGCGGACGCGGAACGCAGACAGGTCTCGACCCCCTAGTGGTGACGTCAGAGGAGAGGCGTGTCAGCGGGGAGGCGTCCCCCGCTTTCTGGCTGGGGTAACTGGGTGATGATTCGGATTCCCAATAATTTAAACAAAGCACAGGCCCCGAAACAAGAAGTATCGCTCTCACTTATCTGCCCTCTCAAGCCCCGCCCGGTTACCAAACGCTTTGGAGGGGAATCCACAGACCCAAGCGGCCGTAGAGCGCGCCACGGCCTTCGGAGGAAAGGAAGTAGATTTTACGGCGAGCCGTAAAGTAGGGTCTACGGTGAGCTGTAAAGCACGTTCCCTTCCGGTTCACGACAGCAGTCCCGACCGTCTCTGCGGGCCTTCCTCCGGTAAGCACCTCTGCCGACCCTCGCGAATTCCGTTCTTTGCTCTCTCGGGCCTTTCCCTACTGTCGCCCCCGCCACCTTGGATCATGTTCAAGAAATTTGATGAAAAAGAAAACGTGTCCAACTGCATCCAGTTGAAAACGTCAGTTATTAAGGGTATTAAGAACCAGTTGATAGAACAGTTTCCGGGCATTGAACCATGGCTTAATCAAATCATGCCTAAGAAAGATCCGGTTAAAATAGTGCGGTGCCACGAGCATATAGAAATCCTTACGGTAAACGGAGAGTTACTGTTTTTTCGACAGAGGGAAGGGCCTTTTTATCCAACTCTAAGGCTACTACACAAATACCCATTTATCCTGCCACGACAGCAAGTTGATAAAGGAGCCATCAAATTTGTGCTCAGTGGCGCCAATATCATGTGTCCAGGCTTAACCTCGCCTGGAGCCAAGCTTTACCCTGCTGCAGCGGATACTGTTGTTGCAATCATGGCAGAAGGAAAACAGCATGCCCTGTGTGTTGGCGTTATGAAGATGTCTGCGGAAGATATCGAGAAAGTGAACAAAGGGATTGGCATTGAAAATATCCATTATTTAAATGATGGGCTGTGGCATATGAAGACATATAAGTGAGCCTCAGAAGGAAAACACTTGGGCTAAATATGGACATTGTGCTGTGTCTGTGTTTGTGTCTGTGTGTGACAGCATGAAGACAATACTTCTATGGTTATGCTGAATAAATTCAGCAGTTGCTACAAAAACAAAAAAGTAAAGATTTGGAACGAGTCCATGTCTGTATCTGTGTCATTGTGTGCATGTTTGTGTGAGTATGTATGCCTGTGAGTATGTCTGCATATGAGAGTGTGCATGCGTGTGTGTGTGCGCGTGTTCCCCCGCGCGCGCACGCATGTGTGTTTGCAGAGGGGTAATTAGGTTTGCTGTCTTGTCTATTCAAGCAGATAGCAGTTCAAACACAGGTAAGTTATCTCTTGCAGAAAAATAGGTTTCTATGTCAAGCGATATAGTTGGTAGACCGAAAGGTGTGAGTGACAAATTGGGAAGAAGAAAATGACTGGAGAAGGGCCCTGAACAGCTCTACCAATATGAATATTTAAGGGATAAGCAGCAGATGGGAGGCCTAAACAATTTTACTGGAAGCAGAAAATCCAGTAAAAAGTATACAGATGGCATCATTGGTTATCCACCCAAAAAACACTGACCCCGTCCTGGCTGGCAGAACTCACATCCCTTTTCTACAGGAACCAGGTAAATGCTGATTATTCTGGGTCCACATGATGGTCTGTTTCCCAGTGAAACTGGTTAATTTATAGGTAGGCATGGGTCCTATGGACAAATAGAACTTTCTCTATTTAGGATCCCTTAAGAAAATGGGTATCTTTTCTCCCTTGTCTTTGAACCATGTATAGGTGAATATGCAATCTATATTATTAGGGGCCATGAAAAGACTTCTGGGGAAAAATTTCAGACTTTAAAAAAAATATTTATTGTTGAAAGTATTACATATGTCCCTCTTTTTTCCCATTGATTTCTTCTAGCCCGCCCCTGTCCCCCCACCCCAGACCTTCACTACACTATTGTCGGTATCCATGGGTTATGCATATGTGCATAGAAGTTCTTTGGTTAATCTCTACCCACCCACCCACGTTTGCCTTCCCCCTAAGATTCCACAGTCTGAGAGATGTATAGGGAGAAACATCCTCTGAACGGATGTTGGCATGTACAGTTTTGCTCTTGTAGTAACACACACACAACCTTTATGTGCAACATGTCCAACCATGGTAAAATTAAAAGTGAAAAGCAACAGTGTCCTTGATTTATGAACCAGTGATTTATAACCATGCAGATGCCATATATCGGGCATCTTATTAAGGAGTGTGGCTAGGTTATGTGAGTTAATAAAATTCCCTTATTGATTACTCCCTTTTTACTTGAGGTTTCTGAAATTGAAGCCAAAGGTATTCCAATTTTTATAGAGTGACCTGGACACCCAACTGAAAAAGGAGGATAAAATGGGTCAAGTGAAGGTTCATCAGTGACTTTTGTATGAGCTGTTTTGGTGTAATTCTATTAATACAAGATCAATTGCAGTAGATTTAGGGGTGAATGGAAAGTTACAAGCTAGGATGCAGAAGTTCAGACTTCATGTTATTCCCTACAGAATTTTGGTTGTGAATTAAAAGATATAGAGGAAGGTTATAATTAAGATTTTTTTTGGAGTTAATATTATTTTGCTGTTGTTATTTTATTGGGTTTTTTTTTCTTTTTTGTTACATGTTTGTTAATGAGATTTCTGAGTATGTTTATATGCTGAGGAGAAAGATTCACTTAGAGAGGGAATACTCGCCTTGGCCATTGTGGCTCAGTTTGTTGCAGCATCATCCTGTACACTGAAATGTCGCAGGTTCTATTCCCTGTCAGGGCACATACCTAGGTTGTGGGTTAGGTCCCCAGATGAGATGCATGCTGGAGGAAACCAATCAATGTTTCCCCTCCCTCCTCCTCCCTTCTCTCTCTCTCTCTCTCTCTCTCTCTCTCTCTCTCTCTCTCTCTCTCTCTCTCTCTCCCCCTCTCCCCCCCTCTCTTTCCCTCCCCTCTCTTGCCTCTCTCTCCCTCCCCTTTCCCTGTCTCTGAAAGAGAGGTGGAAGGACAGCTTTTTACCCTCATGTGGATTACCTGTTTTCTCCATAGTGTTGTCACGTAACAATTCTTAAGCACTTTTCTTCCTCAGAGGATTAGGTCTTTACCATTAGCCCCTATTAATTCTTTACCTTAATCAACACTATTTAGTCTGAACATTGGTGGATACCTCTGGAGGCCCTCTAAACTTCTCATAACAATATTCTGGAGCACCAGTGACTCTGACAGTCAAGGTAAGCAACTCTACAATTCTTTTACTTTATCCCAACCAATTATCTCCATCAAAAGTTGAGAGAGGAGCCCCCTGGATCTACTCTAAGCTTGCTTTCAGCTCCCTTCATCTGTGCACACAACCCTACCTTCCATTCCTTCCTGGTTCACCTCTACCCTAGCTAAAGAGTAAAATGTCTATGACTACTGAGTCACAGGATCTCCAGTGCTGTCCCCACAGGGCAAAGTAGAATGCTGATTTGGGCCTCTGCACCCAACAGCAGTAAAGTTTGAGCTCCTCCTAGAGTGAGCTGGTTGTGTGTGTGTTACAAGAGCAGGCCACCCACTCCCAATCTTTATTTTGCTAGAAATCTTTTAATGGTAAGCACATTGCTGATGATGACAATAAGGACTTAAAATAGTACAAATTGAGCTTTTCAAATTCTGAGGATTAATGATAATGTACATGTTGACACATTTTTTTTTTAAACTTTGGTGCACTTTCTCAGGCAGGCAGGCAAAGTTCAGTACTATCCCCTGGAGGGCTCTGGAGAGTTTGTTTATTGAGAGGAACAGGCAGCATTGATTCGTGTTGAGAAGCCTCACTCTTCCCTGCAGGTCCCTAAGGCCCCTTCCCCTCAATTCCTGCCTCAGCTGCTTTAGAACAAAGCTCAGTGAAGGAGGCCAGTTCAGTGGGATAGGAATGAAGGTGACCAATCATCCAATTTGCTGGGATTGAGGTGGTTCCTGGGATCCTGAACTTCCATTGGAAAAATTAGGAAAGTCCGGGCAAGTAGGTATAAGCAGCTCACTCTAGGAAGAGCTCAAACTTTACTGCTGTTGGGTGCAGAAGCCCAAATCACCATTCTACTGTGTCCTGTGGGGAGAGCAGTACTGGGTGTAGGGGTGGCCAAAAGTGCTAAAGGCAAAAGCAAAATTCCTGAGTCCATATGCATGGGAGGGGGTGCCAAAGAAGAAAAATGCCCCTGGTTGCTCCCGCCATTCACAGGCTAGCTTCTCCTGCCACCTTTGAGTAGCAAGGTAGACATCACAGCCTCCTGTGGCTGTTATAGCCCCTAATGCACAGGTGTTAAATTCTTGATCTGTGTTACCATGATGGTGAGAAACACCTGAATTCAACTGATAGGGTTTGAGAAAAACCCACAGAGAAAGAAAAAATGGTAAGCTACCAGCTCACTGAGGAAGAAATACATAACTACAGTAATTAAATTTGTAGTTAAAATTCTCCAAAGAAAACTCCAGACTTAGAAAGTTTCACTGGTGAATTCTACCAAATATTTAAGGAAGAAATAAATATTTTACAGAATTTCTTCTACAATGAAGTTTTGGGGATACTTCCTAGTTCATTTTATGAAGACAGCATTACCCAAAAACCACAACCAAAGTCATCATAAGAAAATAAAAGGACAGAGCAATAGCCTTCATAATTATAAACATAAATATCCTTAAAAAACATTCACCAAGTGAATCCAGCAATATGGAAAAATGTGGGGTTTATTCTGGAAATGGAAGACTGGCTCAATACTCAGAAATCAATCAGTATAATAAACCATTTGTAGGGAAAGTATATGGTCATTTCACTAGATGCAGAAAAAAAAATTGACACAGTTCAATATTCATGCAATAAAAGAAGTCTTCCTCAACCTGATGAAATAGATGTACAAAATACCTACAGCTAACATATTTATTGGTGAAAGACTGAATGCTTTCTTCCTAAAATCGGAACAAGACAGCAATGCCCCCAATAAATACTTTTATTAGTCATTGTAGGTAGTGCAATAATGGAAGAAGAAATACATAATAAATACAGCTTGAAAATAAAAAATGCTGTCTTTATTCACAGACAACTTAGTTGTCTAAGTAGAAAAACCCAAAGAAATCTACAAAAAAGCTATTAAAAACAGATAAGTGAGATTAGCAAATCAATATTTTAAAATCAAGTGCACGTCAGAACAGTTGAAAATTAAAATTGATATATAGGCCAAAACCGGTTTGGCTCAGTGGATAGAGCGTCGGCCTGCGGACTGAAAGGTCCCAGGTTCGATTCCGGTCAAGGGCATGTACCTGGGTTGCGGGCACATCCCCAGTGGGGAGTGTGCAGGAGGCAGCTGATCGATGTTTCTCTCTCATCGATGTTTCTAACTCTATCTCTCTCCCTTCCTCTCTGTAAAAAATCAATAAAATATATTTTTTTAAAAAATGGGATCTATCCCCTTCTATTAAAAAAAAAAAAATGATATATCGACCATTTTCAGGAGTACCAAAACCCTTGAACTAATTATGGATCGATCTAACAGAATATGTGCATAATCTGTATGTGGACCCCACAAAACAGGAGAGAAGCGCCAATTAAAGGAGACATTAATGAACATAGTGTGCTCTTTTCATGAGTTGGACAACTCAATAATGTGATAATGTCAATTCTCCAAGAATCAATGCATAGATTTTAAAGTATAGTTTGAATCAAAATCACATTGGATTTTAAAATAAGAATTGACAAACTATTTCCACAATTTTAATGGCAAACTCAAAGAAGCAGAATAGCCCAAGTCATTTTTAAAAAGGGAGAACAAAATTGGTGGGTCCCCACTACCTGCTTCCAAGGCTTATTACGAAGCTGAGGTAGACATGTCAGTGTGGTATTAGCAAAAGGGTGGACACATGAATCAAAGAACAGAGAAAAGTCCAGAGATAGAGCCACTAAATGTTGTTGATTGATTTTCTACAAAGTTGTAAAGGTAATTCAGTTGCGAAAAAACAGTGTTTTCAACAAATGGTCCAGGGGGCTTCCATATGTAAAAATACTGAACTTTGTCCCCTACTTTGCAATGTAGACAAAAATTAACTCAAAATGTTAAAATGCATCAAATTTCTAGAAGTAAACAGGAGAAAAACTTT